CGCGCAGGGGTTTCCACTCTGTATTTTGTGTCACGTGCAGAGGATACACCCAATTTTGATGCGCGTAGAAGCAAATCTCATTTCCTTCCCATATTCAAGACTGTCCGATTCATTCATTTTTTTGCCTTGCTGACTCGTGCGATATTCCCCAAAGTTCCCCCTTTGCAAACCACACACGAAGTACGCGGCTCCCCAGCGCTCTGCAGCCAGGCTCCTGCCAAGAGCCAGGCGAGCTGCTACCCTGGCACATTTTTAAATTTGGCTATTTATATTCTGCGTGAGCTTCCTCTTTCCTACCATTGCTCCTCCACGATGCTGATTGTGCATTCCGCACATGCTGCTTAAAAACCAAGGCAGCAGAAAGCAGCGGCAGGACGGAGCCAGTGCCCGCTCCAACACCTGCACCGGACACACATTTCTCCCTTTTCAGATGAGGGGACACGGGGTGGGACCAGGGCTGGGAGAGACACAAAACCTTACCTGGGGCTTCTGTACGTGCCAGCCACCAGCTGCAATCCTGAGTCTGGCACTCACACCAGGATTTCCAGCAAGTCAACCAAAGTTGAACATCTTCAGAATGGTCTCTGAAGAGCTCTGACAGATATCACTGCAACAGCTACTGCTCCCCATACCTGCCCAACACATCTGCTGGAGTTTTCTGCCCCGCCAGGGACGTGGGTCGGGCCTCAGCCAGCACAACCGCAGCCCAGCACCTACGTGCAGACCCTCCTCCATCATTGTTCAAACAGAACAACTGAGCATCGCACCATGGCAGCGACACAGGGGAACCGTCCCTTCTGCTCACTGCATCGCGTTGGTGGAAGGGACGCATCCAACAGGCCCAGGCAGTGCTTTTAAGTGACAAGATTCAGCAAAGCCGTCCTGGGAAAGCTCTGACTCTGAGCACGTTGATGGTTACGGCATTTGCACCTTCCACCAAACTCAGAGAGAAGGGACTCAGCACCCCAGAAAGGGAGATCCAGGGCATTTCACGATGGGCACCAAAAAAGCAAAGACAGAGAAAATGAACATTTGACCATGATTCCTCCAGCTCAGTGTGCAATCCTGCTCCTCTCCATCCAGCAGGAAAAAGGCCTCTCGATGGAGGGGCGGGAGGAAAAACCACATGTTTAACTTAGCGGGATCAGACGCCCAATTCTGCCGAGTCGGAGGCTTTTGCAAAAGCTGCGGTAAGTGAACTCTGCAGGAGTTCATCCCCTGAAATATGAAACGGGAGGGCTGCACCAGATGGCTTGCCTGGTTTCAGAGACCGCCTCTTCCAACTGCGGATAGCCCCGAGCAAGAGCTCCCCGCTGATGGTTCAAAGCAGCGGTGACTACACCAGGGAGGAATTCCTGCTCCGTGCAATAAACTCTTCTACTCTCTGGTGAATGTTCTAGTACACGGCACGGCGTCGGACACCACGTCTTCGTATAACGCGCTCTAAGACAGAGCCAAGGTTCGTGAGCCTGGAGGAAGGGCTGCGGTGTGAGGGACCCTGGCAGGAGCAAGGCTCAGAGCAGCAGAGAATCTGCCTTCATCGAGGAGGGGAAAGCACAAAAGCCAAACAGCAAAGCAAAATATTGGCTCGGGATCTGCATTTTAGAAAGTGTTTGAGATCAGTCACAAAGGAGGCTTTGGTAAGACAAGAGCAAAGTACAGGATTAAGCATGAGCACGGCAGCATCCCTGCACGTTACACACAGACAATTACCCAACAATTACCACGTCTTAAGAGCTCTGGTCCCACGTGCCCTGGGTTAGCGCACTGGCCCCCAAAGACACAAAATAATTAATTGGGAAAAGGTATTAATTTCAGCAGAGGAGGAAGAGGCAAAACTGCTTAAAGTGCTTTTACTGATGCTCCCTGGGCAACAGCTGGTTTAAAGATCAAGATGTTTGTGTTCCTCTGCTCCCTTTCTGCTGGCTACACAAACCGCCTGTGCTACAGACAGGTATAACACCACGGCACCAGGAGCTGCTCTGCACCGTGATTTCCAGGGACTGCTGCTACCAGGCACGAGAGAGAAGCAGACGCTGACCCTGCCCATGGGAAAGAGGGAACCTGCATCTGCTGGGAATTAACAGTCTTGGGGCTACAGAGACAAGAAAAGGCAGAGCTGAGCCTCAGAAACATCACCAGGAGTTTCCTGTCGAAGCTCCGTGTTTGCACAAGTTGGAAAGGACTCGATGAAAGCTGGTAAAGCCTTTTACAGAAGAAAGAAAGAAGAAACAGAAGGTAGAGGTTTGGTCTTTACAATCCTCGGTCCCTTCTCAGAATAATCCCTTTCTACCAGCAACAGGAAATGGGCCTTCCCAGAAATGAAA